CCAGCCCTGCATATGAATTAACTTCTTGAATAGGAAGGCGTTGGGGGTGGGGGGCACTGGAGATATGGCTCAGGGTTGGGAGCACTGGCTGCTCTCCCAGAGATTTGAGTTCAGTTCCCAGTAACCACATGGTGGCTCACAACCGTCTGAAAAAGGAGGAGGAGGAGGAAGGGAAGAAGGCACAGCAGTGGGGAAGGGGTGGTTCACTGGGTAAGAGCACTGCTGTGCAACCTGAGCTTGAATTCCCAGGACCCACGTTAAAACCGGGTGTGAGGACACGTTACTGAAACTCCAGCATTTGGAGGGCAGAGACAGGCAGATCTGAGGAACTCACTAGCCACCAGCTTAGCTGAAAGCCTCGTGTTCACTGTGAGATCCTGTCTCAAAAAATAAGATGCTGAGTGTTAGAGAAAGACACCCAATAGCCTTCTCTGGCCTCTTCTGCACAGCAGCGCCTAGGTACATGCACCTGCACACAGACGCCACACACACACACACACACACACACACACACACACACAGAAGGAGGTATATTACCAACAGAAAACGATCCATTTGGTCTGCTTCCCTCACTCTAGCAGAAAAAGATGAAGATGGAGAGACGGTCATAGTTGCGAAGCTCTACTGTTTTCTCTGAATCCTAAGCAGACACGGTGTTTGGGCAGCTTCTTGTGTCGTGAGCATGCATCATGAGATCTGGCCCCCAAGGCACCTCTGTCCGGATCCCCCGTCTCTGGACAGGCTATCCAGTCACAACCCTCCAGTGTAGGAAGTCCGCTGTGTTACACTACCCTAGCTTCACCACGGTGCTGAGGGACAAGACGGGTTCACAGGAGCGTGGGTGTGAGTTGCTGGAATCTGGTGCTGTGTGCTTAGCCAGTTAGGAGAAGAGATCATTCCTTGGAACAGGTTCTGGGAGGATGCTTGTTGCTCATGGACAAACAGTCTTGCCAAGACAGAGAGTGGATTGGTTTGTTTCTGACTTTGCCTTGGTCAACACCCCATCTCCTGCCTCCCAGAGGATTTGCCTCCTCCTCATCTGGCCTGCCCCGGAAGATGGGAGCGAGACCCCCAGGCAGCTGCTCCTTGGCCTGCACCCCAAATTCAGGCATGAGCTCTGTCCCCACAGCAAAAGGGACTCAGAACCAGGGGTTGGGTGGTGAGAGACTTGTCACATGAGGTCTGATGAGGCCAGCTTTGCTCTATTTTGGGAAAGAGATCGATCGTGTCAGGGGGTGACCATACTGGCCAGTTGCGGGAGAACCTGGCAAGGCACCCTCTGTACCCTGACCTACTTGCCAATGGCAGCTAATTTTAGCAGGGCTTGGAGATGCCAGAGAGTGCAGAGCATGTTGGGGTCAGTCCCTGCCAAACCCAAGCAAAGGACTAGGGGGTGTCTGAACCTCAGGGAGGAACTCAAAGAGAGCCCATGCCCTGAGCCTGTCTGTCACAAAATGTAATGGCCTCCTCCATTCTGTTTCTGTTTGGGTTCAAGGCAGTCTAAGGAGTGCCCACGGCACTAAAAATAATTCTGAATGAAACACTCAGTATTGTTTTACTTGGGGGACATGTCAGAGCAGCCCTGAGGACCTGAATCCACCCTTGTTTGTACTGCACAGGTGCCCCTCCCCTCCCCTCCCCTCCCCTCCCTTACCACTTCCCTCCCTCTTCCTTGTGGCTAATCTCTATCCTCTTTCCACAGAAACTTGGCTTCCTTCCCTTCCCAGCCTCCCCTTCCCACCCAGGTTCCATGATGGAGCCTCAGACCTTGTGACATGCATAGCCAGCCCTCCATAGATGGAAACTCATGGGGATCCCCGTTGGAAGCCTCACTGGCACGCACAGTTCCTCAGCGCACACATACCTGCTTCCCCTCTGACCCTTCGTGGCACCCATTGCCATCTTCCTTAACAAGGCTGAGAGGTGGGGTGTGGGTGGGCTGGCTCCAGTCACCCTGTCAGCCTCTCCATAGCAATCCCAAGCAACGTTCAAAGAGCACAGCAGCCTGCCTCATAGCCTTATCCCTGTGGCCTTTGTTAAACCTGACCCCACGTGGTCCCTTGTCCTCGCCTGGCCCTGACCCTACGTAAGGTGGCAGAGTATTTCAGAGGCCGCTCATCTGGCCCATTAGAGCAGAAGCCCTTGGCCGCCTGGCTCTTGCAACACTCAGTCAGACAGCCCTCACCTGCCACAGGTGGCCTCAGGAGGCAGGAACATCTCTGCTTCCCCAGCTCCCTGTGGCTTGTCCTCTCGGAGAGATGGCTAAGGATACTACAAGGAGTAGAACCCAGTTGACTCTGGTAAGGGCTATTCGCAGCTGGAGATGCCAGTACCCTGGAGTTGGAGCGAGGGATTGAGGGGCCATAGGACAGATGCAGTCTTGGAAGGAGGCTGGATATGGCCCTTCTTCCCTCTCTACCCTCCTCACTGGTACCCCTCATCCATCTCTTGAGGAATCCAACTGGGCTTGTTCAGGAATCCAAGGGGGCTTGTTCCTGGGACAACGGTGCCTAGGCTGGGGGCTTTTCCTAGTGCTTCTTGTCGCTCAGAGATCCTTATGGCTGTACTTGGAAGACTGTAGGGCTCTGTTCCTCAGGAGTACATGGATGACTGGCCTAGGGTCATTTATTCCTGTATATATAGCTACCATGGGTCTGGGAAAAAAGAGGCCAGTCTGAGGCTGGACATGGGGGCACTGAGACTACCTCTGGATCTTGGGCACTGTAGCTTTTATCCACAGGCTTCTCTAACCCTTGTCCAGATTCTCTGAGATCTACAGTGCCTTGGGACCACCTCTCCCGGTGCTAGGGAGACCTCTTCATCTGGTAAATGTAACATTGCGTTATTATTATTGTTGTTGTTGTTGTTGTTTTTCAAGATAGGATTTCTCTGTGTAGCCTTGGCTCTCTTCAGACTAGCTCTATAGACCAGGCTGGCCTTGAACTCAGAGACCCACCTATCTCTGCCTCTCACTGACCAGAGATGGCGTGTTATTTTTTTACTGCATTCTAAGGTGGGATCTCAAAGCCTGTTCAGGGTATTTGACTCTGCCAGCTCCATTCCTCCCACTTTGCTATCTGACCTGTGAACTCTTCCAGACTTGCAGCCTTAAGAAATCTCCATACTGAGGACTTTCAAGTGTGCATCTCCACTGTGCCCCCCGACCTCTGTTCTCACATGGCCACACATACACACTTGAGACAAATGTGCGCAGGCAGACGGGTGGTGTGCTTAGGTCAGTTTCCCAGAATGCTCAGTCGCAATGGAGCCCTTCTCTAGTTGCTCAGGCTAGCCCATGGGATCCTCGCAATGTGTCTCTACCTAAAATCCCTACGCCTCAAGCTGCCAGCAAATGCATATGTCCTTTAGACCTTACCCTCTGTCTGTCCATGCTCAGTGTCACTGTACCCAGACTGTGGAGACACTCTAATTTCCCCACTTCCACTCTGTGGAACATTCAAGAAGTTCCCATTCTGTAGCCCAGAGTCTCAGGCTTCTCACATGTGTGTGGGTCATTCCCTTAACATCAGCTGCACTCTCTCTTTACCAACCATGGTACCTGCCTCCTCTCCTCTCCTCTCCTCTCCTCTCCTTTTCTCTCCTCCCCTCCCCTCCCCTCCCCTCTCCACCTGACTCAGGTCCAACATCATGTAATTCTTTTCGGTGGCTCTCTATGAGCATTGGGACAGATGCTCCTGGACAGACAGATGGCAAACGTGCTCTCAGCTCCTCTCTAACATCCCACGCAGCACACAGCGCACTGCCCAGAGCTGGCATCTGCTAAGGAGACCTTTCAGTGCTCTCCAGGGAATGATGAGGAGGGGAGTCCTCCCACAGGAAAAGCCCTATGTTTGCTTGTGACCTTGAACGTTGGTTATGTGTCCTGTGACTTCTCGGACAAGGTGCACAAGAGAAGCAAGCAAGTTAACGGTGCCTCCCTGCAACATGAGACCCTTGTAGAGACACACACAGCAGACTGTCTCACTGGATGCCAGCCAAAGTCAGGTCCCAAAATCATGTAGGAAGCAGTCCAATGGGTGGGTGTAGGTTCCGAGCCCAGGCATCTGCTCACCACCCAACTCTGCACTCCTGGCTCTGTGGGTTGATGGGGAGGGGTTGGACAGTGTGTATTCAGGTCCTAGGGGTGTCTTGGAATGATTCAGGAGTGTGGGGGAAACCCAGCAATGACAATGGTGGGCTTGGCCTATAGTTCTTGTCCCTGTGCACAAGCCGTGGGAACTGCTAGATAGACTTCATTATGGCGTGATGCCCATCTCCGCCCTCCAATACCCACAGCCTAAAGAGTTGTGAAAACCACTTCTGGTCAGACCGCCCTGCCCTGAGTTGTGCACTGACCTGGTGCCAGAAGTGTGGGCATTGTCAGGCCCAATGCACTCTGAGGAAGGGACTTCAGTTTCCAAGGAAAACTCTCCACAGCAAGAGCAGAATCCCTTAACAGCTTCAGCGTAAACTCTTTCACATCCACCTCCAACCTGCATCGCCAGGCTTGGGGAAGGAATGTGGGTGTGTGTGATGGTGTCTTTCTAGCCCCAGTGGTCTAGATGAGTATGAGACATACTGCAATAGGCCAGGCTTGGCTCCAAATGAGGGGTCTGTGACCAGGTGACTTAGACCAGCTCTACCACTGGGGGGCAGGCTCCCCACTTCCCTATATCCTCAGCGAGCATGCAGACCCAGTTTGAAAGAAATCTAGCCTTCCTGTAAGGGATCTCAGTTTTAAATAGATTTTTAAATGTTGGCAGATCCATAGGCCAGATGCAGTTCCGTTTTTGAGAATGGGACTGGGCTCTGCAGAAGGCCCCATCTCACTTCCTCAGTGCCAGAAAGTTCTACCTCCTTCTCCGGAAAGGACGAAGGTGACTTGGTAATGGCAGGTGTCTTAGGTTAATTCATCCTGGCCTTGCTGGTGAATACAGGGTATTGGGGTGTACTTGGGGGGGGGTCTTCTTTCAAAGAGGAGGCTCTTGTGTACTTCTTGTGAAGTGTTTACAGACTCTGTATCCCGAAGTTACTGAAACAAAATTAAGCGTTGGTAGAGACAGTACTGGTCCTCCGGACAGGTGGTATCAGTTTGGCTTCCTTGGGGTCCAGACCCTCAGGATACACACTCTGGCTTAGGAGCTGTGGAGCCTGGGCACCATGCAGTACACTCGATTTTCCCAAACTCTACAGGAAGGTGATAACGCAGACAGGTTGGCCCTGCCGATCCCCACTCTGTGAGAAAGAACCAACAGCACCCATTTGTCACAGTGTCACCGGGACCTCTAAGCTCTTGAAAAGTTCTTCTCAGCTCCATAAAGAAGGCACGAGTCACTTGGAGCCCTCATCAACCACATGGTCCAGCCACACACCACCAAGTCACCCTGGGCCAAGTCCCTAACCCTGAAACTCTTCAGGGACCCAGCCTGAGGTATTGGCTCCTTTCATGAAGAATTTTAACCGGAAGGCAATCATAACCTTAGCCCTAATCTTAACCCTAACCCTAACCCAGAGTCTAGCTTCTAGTCACCGAGAGGAACTGACTGGACAGAGAGGCAGGAAGGGGGCCCAACAGGGCCTGAGGGTTGAACTTTTGTTAAGATCAGCCTTTCCTGTGTCATGAAACCACAGGTCACAGGTATCTTATAATTGGGTCCCTTCCGGTGTTTTTTGTTTGGTTTGGTTTTTGTGACAGGGTTTCCTGCCTCTGTCTCCTGAGCACAGGGATTAGAAGTATGTGTCATGGCTCATGGCCTGTCCCTGGGTGCCTTCCTGAGTACCCACACCCAGCTGGTCACTGGGTCCTTCTGAGCAGCTGAACCTCAAGAGAGAAGCCAAGCTTACTTCAGCAGCTAACTCTCAATAAATTCTACAAGTCTAGGAAAGAGACAAAGGGGGCTGAGGGGGCTGCTTTGGGGATATCCTGGATTTCCGGGTACAACACAAATTGTTCCACAGAGAGCTGAGTACGTCCAGAGGCCTGCTCTGCAGGGCCAACGGCAGAAGAGACTGACCACACGCTCACCTCACGCCCAGCTGATGCTGGTGTCTGCTTGGTACCTCTGTAGAACCCTTATCAGCCCTATTTCTTTCTGATTTCCCTGGATTTAAACTCTATGTGGGGGCTTTTTTTTTTAAACGATCATTAACCAATGCTCCATATCTCTTGGGAATGCTTTTGATTGATGGAAGCCATGAGTCTGATGCCTCATGGCTTACATGACTGCTGGCATCCACCTTTCTTCTCTGCCATGTGCAAGAGGCTAACAGTCCTTTCCTTCCTGTCTTTCTCTGCATGACTACATTTGGCTGCTGCAATGCTGACCATCACATCCTCACACAGCTGTGCTCACAAACTAAGAGGCCTTAAATTCCCCGCTCCTGTTAAAATCAGGTTTCCCTTCACCTGCCATTGATGAATTGAGTCATATGCTCCAGCTCCAAGCAAAGGTGATAGAATCACTGTGTTCAACTTAGTCTATCAGGGTTTACTGTTCTACCCAGCCCCCTAAGCAAAATCTGGGTAACTGAAAAAGATGCCCTGGTATCATCCAGATTCCTCCAACATGCGGAGCTTATGTGCAAGATGCAAAGAGTGCAGATTCTCATAAAAATAAAAAATCAATATGTGGCATTTGTCAGATCCTTCATTTTTTTCTTTTTGACTCAAAGTACAAGTGTTTCTGCAATGACTTCTCAGTACCCAGTATACTAACTTTTGCATGAGCTCAAGTGCTGTACAAAACAAACGGCTACACAGCTGCAGGCTCTGGCTATCCTTGTGCCAGTACGTGGAGGGTGAACCCAAATCTGGGCCATCCACATGCAGGAACAGCAGCGCTGGTTCTGAACTTCTTGTACACAGGTCTCCTGTGTTGATATCAAGAGCGTCCTCCTGAGCTTCAAGCCCGCACACTGTGGATGGCCAGAGCGTCCTCCTTCTGGGCTTCAAGCCCGCACACTGTGGATGGCCGTGCTTTGCTGGCCAGACCCTTGCTTGGTGCTTGGGGTCCCGCAGCTGCTCTAGTCTTGGCATGTGCATACTGGTCCATTCATTCCATAAAGTCCTGCAGTAGGAAATAAAAACCTGGCTCTTTTTACTCTAGTCCTGCCTCACCAAAGTCCTATTTAGATGATTTTCCTCCCCTCATCCAAAGTCTTGGGGCAATAGGAGGCACGAGGCGTTGTGCTGCAAAGGCTATCCAGCTCCCTGCTGTTCACTCCTCCAGAGTACCCAGGCTAATTGTTGGGAGGCTGGCCTTGGAATATTTGAAATAAACTATGATAAATAGTCTGAGATGTGGATCATCCTGTATCCGGGGTAAGAAAACAAAAAAGAGACCCTTGGTGTGTGGAGGCTCCTGGCGACAGCCACAGCGGCTCCCATCCCCTCCCTGTGTAGGTAGAGCAGATCCTGGCAGAGTTCCAGCTGCGGGAGGAAGACCTGAAGAAGGTGATGAGGCGGATGCAGAAGGAGATGGACCGTGGCCTGAGACTGGAGACCCACGAGGAGGCCAGTGTAAAGATGTTGCCCACCTACGTGCGTTCCACCCCAGAAGGCTCAGGTACCGCAGGGATCCTCTGTCCCTAGACAGGACCCCCTAGGCAAACGATGGCATCCCTAAGTCACTGGATAGGTCTTTGTCCAGTTGCCTGAAGCCGTGGGGTGCTCAGGCCCAATCTGGAGCTATCAATCCTCAGGAGAACTGGCTCATTCTTTTTTTTTTTTTTTTTTTTGTCTCTAAGGTCACTTGGAACTTCCTCCTTAACCAGAGTGTAGCCCATTACTCTAGGTCTATGTGTAGTTCTCTGGGTTCTGGCTGCCTTTAGCTAAGGCAGGGTTTTGCCACGGATAGTCCCTAGCTCACCTCTGACCTTTCCACAGCTTGCTCTACCATTGCCCCACCCCCAGTGTCTAGGCTAGCTTCTCCTCATCCACAATATCTGGGGTCCCCATACCTACCCTCCTGTCAGATAGGCAGCGAGGCTGAACATCTCTCCCTTTGCCTGCAGAAGTTGGAGACTTTCTCTCCTTAGACCTGGGAGGAACCAACTTCAGGGTGATGCTGGTGAAGGTGGGAGAGGGGGATGCAGGGCAGTGGAGTGTGAAGACCAAACACCAGATGTACTCCATCCCCGAGGATGCCATGACGGGCACCGCAGAGATGGTGAGCAGCCTGAGGGGCCGGGCTAGGAGTCAAGGTCCCCCAGGGTCTCGGGAGATGATGGGAGGGTTCCAAGAGCAGGAGAGATGGTGGGCCAGCCACCCAGCTTCAGAGAGAGACCCAAGAAGGAGGCTCAGGGGCTTAAAGTGTCCCAAGTCCCAATTCCAGTCTGCTCAGAACAAGAAGGGCTGAAGAGAGGTCAGGAGCAGCAGTAAAACCCAGCGTCTGTCCAATTTCCCAGAGGCAAAACAAAGCTTAGGCCTGAGCAGTCAGGAGCCATGCTCGCCCAGCCTTCTGCCTTCTGCAGTTCTCAAAACCCAACCTTCCTCATAGGCCATCACTAATCCACCAACAGGTATATGCCAAGTGGCGTAGCAAGAGTCACACTATCTGCCCAAGCAGCAAGGGTCCCCTACGCATGAGGGAGACTCAGACGGGGGACCTAGAAATAAAGGAGTCGTGGGCTAAGCCAGAACACCCCGCCATTCCCAGGGACAAAGCAAAAACCGTTACCAGAGGGGCAGCCAGGCAGGAGATTGCCTGTAGTCACTCAGCTTTCCCTCAGCGTACTTCAGCCTGGGACTGGTTATGAGGCAGCTCCCTCACCCATCTGCAAACTCAGCAGGGCCACTCACGCGAACCGTTCACTGGGAGGAACTGGGACTAGCCTTCAGCGGGGGTCAGGTGGCCAGGATACCTAGAAAACAGCAAAAGAAACAGAAATGTGGAAGCCAAGAATGTGCTTCCCTCCAGAGCTTCACGAGACAGCCATCCAGGCTTGATGCCAGTCAGTCCTCCCTGGGCAAGTGAGGGAGGGGGCTTGGAGGTGCGGCTAAGCTGGGGATCAGCCTGTGTTGCACTTCTTGCTCTCAGTACTGCAGCCTGCAGGGTTGGTTCTCCATTTGGGAAGGCACAGGGCCTGAGTGCTGATGAGAAACACTGAAGACAGGCCCAACATACAGTTGCAGCCTCTGGGGTCAAATGTCTTAACACCTCCAAGGGACACTCTGGCACAGTCCCTAGGGAGAACTGCTGCTGTCCCAGCCCTGATCCGATGCCACTCTGCTGCAACTCCTAGCTCTTTGACTACATCTCCGAGTGCATCTCTGACTTCCTGGACAAACATCAGATGAAGCACAAGAAGCTACCCCTGGGCTTCACCTTCTCCTTCCCTGTAAGGCACGAAGACATAGACAAGGTGAGCCAGGAGGAGGAGAGGGAAGGGAGGTGAACGGATGGAAACACACCCAGGGAAAATTCTGTTCCCACTGCCTTCCCAGCCCAGGTTGAAAAAGATCCCAAGCTTAGGAGAGATTTCAGTTGTGGGCCCTGTCACTTCCTATCTGTAAAGCTTTGGCAAACAGCCACAACCTCAGCTGATTCTTACTGTGTGGCAAAACCTCTCAGGAGACAAGCTCTGGTCACCCCACTACAGGTAAAGAAACAGGTTAAGCAAATTGCTCTCAGTGGGAGATGGCAATTGGCCATAAGACAGGGGCCCCAGCTCACCACTGAGCACAAAGACACCTCACCACTTCTGGCTGAGTCAGAAGTGGGAAGGGTCTGAGAATCTATCCCATTGGGAAACTTATAAGTTACAACACACACACACTCAAACACACACACACACACACACACACACACACACACACACAATCTCTGCATTAGTCTCCTTTATAGTTGCTATGATAAATCACTCTGACGAAAGCAACTTAGGGGAGAAAGGGCTTAATTTAGCTCACACAGTTCCAGGTTATAGTGTATCACAGCAGGGGAGTCACAGAGGCAGGCGCTTCACTAGCAATCTTCAGAAACACAGAGCAACATGCTTGCTTGCATTCGGCTTGCTTTTAACATGCCTCTACCTCGGGAATGGTGCCTCCCCACCACCACTGGGGCAAGTCATCCCGTCTCAATTAATGTAATCAAGATTAATGTCCATAGGCCATCTTAATCTAGACAATCCCTTACTGAGACTCTCTTCCAGGTGACGCTACATAAAGTCAAGTTAACAGTCAAAACAAATCGCTACAACCTCTCTGTGTCAGAGAAAAAAGCAGGTCTTGTCCCAAGGGGCAGAAACAACAGCCAAACCCACACCTCCAGTAGTTTTCTAAGCCTCAAGCTCCACAGAGAAAGACTCATGTGAGACCCTCATGTGAAGCAGGATTCACTGTAAGAGAGGAACCCCAACGTTATTCAGCACTGTTCTCACGGGGACCTGACTGTCCTTCCTCTACTTTGGAATCACAGTTCTGAGCTTTGCTGCCCAACATTCTTATGCCGGAGGGTACAGATTAACCAAAGAGCATTTACCCCAAATTCTCAAGGTCCTGGGTTCCTTTTAGTGTGTGTGTGTGAATATGGGTGTGTGTGTGTGTGTGTGTGTGTTTAGGAAATTATTCCCAATACTTCTCAAAGCTGTGTGAGCCTACTTCCTCAAATGTGAAGCAGGAGATGGGGGTGCCATGGGCCTATGGTCTGGTTGGTTGAGGGCCACAGCTCCCTTGCCACAACAGCAGCCATAATGCCTTCCTACTCCTCCAGGGCATCCTGCTCAACTGGACTAAGGGCTTCAAGGCCTCCGGAGCTGAAGGGAACAACATTGTGGGACTTCTCCGAGATGCTATCAAGAGGAGAGGGGTGAGGATACCTTGGCCTCCCCGAGGAGCTGTCCTGGGCCCCTACTCCTTTCTCACAGGCCCTCTCCTCAGCCCTATTCCCATAGTCTCCGTACTTCTCGGCAGGACTTTGAGATGGATGTGGTGGCAATGGTGAATGACACAGTAGCCACGATGATTTCTTGCTACTATGAAGACCACCGGTGTGAGGTCGGCATGATTGTGGGTAAGGGCTTGTTCCCTGTAACCCTTCCCAGCTGCACAGGAGCTTAACAGTCTATGTCAGTGCACTAACTGCTAGGGCCAGTCAGGGGAGGCCTGTCCCCTGAGCCAGGTGGCCTTGGGGATGTGGTGTGGAGGGAACTGTGTGTTGATGGGAACTGTTTCAATGTTTGCAGCATCAGGGCATCAGGTGGCCTGCCAGCTGCACACCCGCCCTGCCTATCTGCATGTAATTAAACCACTTTGTCTAGTAAATGGACCATACTGGACAAACTTGTCCAAGTGGAAGAAAATCAGCAGAAGTGACTTCATCCGTGCCGCCAGTCGGCCCCACCCCATCCTGGCCCTGGCCCTGCCCCTGACACGGGGCCCAGCACTGAATCTCTGAACTGCCAGGCCCTAAACCCACTCTCGGAGGGGAGGCCATTGCAGGAAAAGAAGCCATAGCTCTCACCTCCTAACCAGGGATGGGAACTCAACACCAACCCTCTCCCCCCTCCCCCCGCACAGTCTTAGAAATTCCTGTGGTCTTCCAAAGCAGTGAGTGTGCCAACCAAATCAGTTATCTACTGTGCACACAGGTGTAGGGATGCTTGTTTGGACAATTTAGGCCCCGATTACCCAGAAAATCCTGTGCTATAGGCCCTTCAGAGACAGATCTCCAGTACCATAAGTGTTCATTTGTGCTTATACTTGCCCCCTAAATAAATACATGCTAAATAATATATTCATTTTATGTATATGCATATATAAAACATTATAGGTGCACACATATAATTTGTAATGTATGTACACATATATGTATATATATACATATATATATATATATAATTTGTTGGTTTTGGTTTTGGTTTTGTTTTGTTTTTGAGACAGGGTTTCTCTTTATAACATTCTTATCTGTCCTGGAACTCACTCTGTAGACCAGGCTGACCTTGAACTCACAGAGAGGCGCCTGTCTCTGCCTCCCAAGTGCTGAGATTAAAGGTGTGTGCCACCACCACCTGACTTGTTGTTGTTTTGAGACAGGGTCTTACTATATAGCTCCGGCTGTCCGGGAACTCACTATTAGACCAGGTCTTGAGCTCACAGAGATCCTCCTGCCTCTGCCTCCTGAGTGCTGGGACGAAAGGTGTGTACCACCATATCCAGCTGTGTGCATATATTTTTACATTCTAGTCCAGTGGGTCTCAACCTTCCAAATGCTGTGACCCTTTAGTATAGTTGTGGTGACCCCCAACCATAACATTATTTTCATTGCTACTTTATAACAGTAGTTTTGCTACTGTTGTGAATCGTAATGTAAATACCTGATATTTCCAATGGTCTTAGGCGACCCCTGCCCCAACCCGCAGGTTGATAGCTTTTCATCTATCATAAATGTTCTCAGTTTCATTGGTGACAGCATGTATCAGTCCCTGCTCTAGCCTGACCCCACTGCATCTCCCTTCTGTTTGCTATATCTATTTTCTATCTTACCTTTTTAGTGAAAAATTCTCTCTCCAGATGTCTCTGGCTGTGCCTCCCTCCATATTCCCCAAGCTGTGTCCTCCATAATTCCTCCTGGGGCTCCCAAGACACCTCACTTAACCCAGGCCAAGCTACAGCGACTCTGCCTGGGGACACACCTCCTGTGGCATGATCCAAAGTGATGGCTACCTTTTGGTAACCCAACACTCACATTTACCCAGAAACATTCATGGTGCCTGCTCAGTATTTAAAATCACATTCGTGATAATTACCAAGTGATTGGAAGCATCACCCCAGCCCCTGGCATCCATCCTAAGCCTCCTGGAAGTCACCTTGGTCTTGACTCCACCTGGGGGGAGGGGGCGAAAGCCTGCCAAGCAGTGACAACCCAAGGAGAACACTCCCACAGGCTGTTTAGGCTGCCGCCCAGAAAAGGAACACGTGGTCTCTGGGTCCCCTACCCAACCCTCCGCCATGCTTTCCCAGTGCCACCCGGGAGTGCTGCATTAAACGTGGGCATTTTTCATTTGATCTAATTTGGTCTGATTGAAATTATTTGCATTGGCGGAGAGGCTCATCTTAAGAAATATATCTAACACCAAGATTGAAAAAAAAATGATAGAACTCAGTCAGGTGATGGTGGCACGTGCCTTTAATCCCAGCACTTGGCGGGCAGATCTCTATGAGTTGAAAACAAGCCTGGTCTACAGAGTGAGTTCCAGGACACATTCCAAAGCTACAGAGAAACCCTGTCTTGAAAAACAAAACCAAACAAACAAAAGTGCTAGACAACAAGGGACTGGAGAGATGGCTAAGCAGTTAAGAGCATTTGTAGCTCTTCCAGAGGACCTGGGTTCGGTTCTCGGTACCCACATGATGGCTCACAACTGTCTGTAACTCTAGTTCTTGGGAATCTATACCATCTTCTGGCTTCTATGGGCACCAGGCAGGCATGCTTGTGGTCCACAAACCTACGTGCAAACAAAACACTCATATCTTTAAAAGTCTTTTTAATTAAAAAAATAAATAAAATGACACCTAACACCTATTTCCAGTGACCAAGCCACATTGGCCCACCTTTTCTCTCTGCCCCTGACTACGCAGGTAGAGTGAGGATGCATCCTTGTCAGAGGACAGCCCGCAGACTGACCAGTCTCCTCTGCATTACACAGCTTCCATGCCTGGTTCTTATGACCTTCTGTGCCCCATCCCTGCAGGCACTGGCTGCAACGCCTGCTACATGGAGGAGATGCAGAATGTGGAGCTGGTGGAAGGGGATGAGGGGCGCATGTGTGTCAACACGGAGTGGGGCGCCTTTGGGGACTCGGGCGAGCTGGATGAGTTCCTGCTGGAGTACGACCGCATGGTGGACGAGAGCTCAGCGAACCCCGGTCAGCAACTGTAAGGATGCCCTGCCCTCCTAACCCACGCCTGGGGCTGCTCTTGCCCGGCACACCGTAGCTGGGCCACAATAACAGCTCGTTTATAAAGAGCTCTGGGGGGAAGCAAATCGGTGATCCCTCTGTGAACCAGCTCTTTTCTTCAGGTCAGTCACAAGCTGCCCCTGTGAGGTGTGGAGGTGTCATGGTGGTTACTATAAAGTCCGACCTCTCAACTTTTATAGGTAGCCTCCCACCAGAGACAGCTCTGAAAGACCTGCAAGGCTCATCTGGTTTAAGCCAGAATCCCTCAAAGCACATATGTATGCTAGTTCCACAAAAATGAATATTAGCATGAGGGGGGATGCTGTAGGCTGGCAGACATGTCTTGGGAATCAGCTGAACAGAGCTTGTCTTGAATCACGGCTATTGCCACGTAGTACGGCGCACACCTTTAATCTCAGCACTAGGGAGGCAGAGGCAGACAGATCTCTTTGTGTTCCAGGCCAGCCAGGCCTACATAGCAAGAAGTTCCAGGATAGCCATGGGTACACAGTGAGACCCTGTCTCATAAAGTAAATAAATAAAAGGAATTGTGCCTCTTGCAGGCTAGCCACCTACACGGTACCGTTCTCATGTTAACAACTCCTTAATGAGTTTTATCTCAGACCCTCTGTTAGCTCATTAATAGCTGCTGGGTTTCAAGATGAAAATATAGAGGCTCACAGATTAGGGAAAAATATACTAGGCTGTTATGTGCCCTGTTGGGCACCAACCCTGTTTGCCAATGAGACTAGCATCCCTTCACATGGTTGAGGAAGGACTAAAGTCCCAGGATGTACACTCAGACAAGGCCTGCCATCATCAGTAAGGTTTCAAAGGCTCACAGTGGCTCCTCAGCTCTGTCCCCCCTTTCATATACCAGACCAGCGGTGGCCAGATGTGCTTCCTCAAGTGGGTTTAAAATGCGCACGTTCCTAGGACCTGAGTTTTCTGAAGCCTCTGTGTGCAAATGGGGGGTGGGGGCGGGGCAACGAGGGCAAGGACCTTGGATAATGGCTCTGGGGTGGGAATGAGAAAGCGATCACGGTGCCCCACGTGGTCACCTCCTAACTGGAATGGAACCTGTGGGGATTTCCCCAGGGCCAGCTGGCATAACCGACTGTTCTGTATACAGGTACGAAAAGCTCATTGGTGGAAAGTACATGGGCGAGCTGGTACGACTTGTACTGCTCAAGCTAGTGGACGAGAATCTTCTCTTCCGTGGAGAAGCCTCAGAGCAACTGCGCACACGTGGCGCCTTCGAGACCCGTTTTGTGTCGCAGGTGGAGAGGTGCCTGGAGGGGCAGGACCAGGGGCAGGGTCTGGGAGGACGAGGAATGGGATGGGGACAGATGAATGGATCAGGGTTCTAGGGGAAGCAGAGCATTATTAGATCAGGGGCATAGGGAGACATGGATCCTAGCACAGCGTCCCTGTGGCCTCTGACCCCTAGTCAAGCGGAGGCCTGTCCGCCGACTCAGTGTTTTTCACACATTCCCCACTACCCAGAGCCACTGTCTCAACTTCATCCATGCCACAGCCTCGAGACTGTGGCATTGTCACCCTCACTATAGAGAGAATCCAGGGCTGACCAAACGACTGCTGGGCAGGGCAGCGGGGGCGGGAGGAGGGAAGCGAGGAGAAGGGGGCGTCATTCTCATTCCTCCAGGACCCTCAGTGACTTCTCTCCCCCATCCTGCTCGCAGCGACTCGGGCGACCGCAAGCAGATCCACAACATCCTGAGCACTCTGGGGCTTCGGCCCTCCGTCACCGACTGCGACATTGTGCGCCGTGCCTGTGAGAGCGTGTCCACGCGTGCCGCCCACATGTGCTCCGCGGGACTAGCGGGAGTCATAAATCGCATGCGCGAAAGCCGCAGTGAAGACGTGATGCGTATCACGGTGGGCGTGGATGGCTCTGTGTACAAGTTGCACCCTAGGTTAGTTTCCACCCTAGCTCCCGGGTCCAACCTCTCGCCAAAAAAGGGAGGCTCAAAGGGCGTGGCTCTCAGCTGCAGACATTTGTGAGCCCTCCTGCCAGGCTCCTCTCAGGCCTGGAGGATGCTGCAGTCGGGGAGCCTACCGTAGATGGATGGGTGGCTATGGTGAAGTCTAAAAGGTGGGAGGAGAAGTAGCAGCCCTATTCTCCTCCTATTCAGCTTCAAGGAGCGGTTCCACGCCAGTGTGCGCAGGCTGACACCCAACTGCGAAATCACCTTCATCGAATCAGAGGAGGGCAGCGGCAGGGGAGCAGCCCTGGTCTCTGCGGTGGCTTGCAAGAAGGCCTGCATGCTGGGCCAGTGAAATCCAGGCCACAAGGACAGGGACCTGGGCTCCATGGGGACTCCATGCCCCACAGGTGCTCCCAGCCCACGGGGGCAGGAGATCTATTCAGCTGCTACCCCCTGGATAATAGGGAGAGGCCCCTGCAAGCTGAGCAGGCGTTTCTACAGTCAGTCAAGTGGGACAGCCCTAGGGCTCTCAGCCTGGGGTAGGGGCAGGGGGCTGGGAAGAGGAAGAGGATCAGAGGCACCAAAGCCTTTCTTGTTAGAATCAACTACAGAGAAAGGCCTTACACACTCAGGACTTGCATTTTCACACTTCTTGCCTCTCACAGCAGGGGGCCTGGCCTCCCAGGGGAGTGAGTGCCTCCTGGTCCTTTCAATGGTCTCACTTCCCTGGGAACACACCCTGCACGGGGAGGTAGCTCCAGCAGCTTGGCCAGACCAGACCAAGGAGAGCAAGGGCTCTCCTAGGAGAGCAAGGGCTGCTAATCACCCAGCCTGGCTGTTTTCTTGCCTGTGACCAAAGAGGCTGGGGAGTCATGAAAGACTAACTGTCCAGCTGCATCGAGGAGACTTTCCAGGCCAAAATTACTCCCAAAGAGACTGTTTGCTTCATATACCTCTGCCCCAGAGTGACTTACGGTTCTGGAATGAACCCTCCCAGGAGATGCCGGAGAATAGAGCCCCAAGTTCCTACCCTAAGGGGACCAGAAAGGGGAAGCCTCTCTTGAACTATTGGGAGGTCCCCCTCCTTCAAGCAGGATGGCATTTCAGCTCTCACATCCTCGATTCAGAAGGACAAAGTATCCCTCTAAGAGACCTCCTAGGCCCCTCTTCCTCATCCTCCCCAAATACCATGCCACCCTCTCTATGCCAACCCGGGACTGTGGGAGGGAGTTTTTAATTAAATATTTAAAAACACTTAAACATGGCTTGTCCATTGCTCTGTGACCTCTGTGCTAAGGGTTGTAAGGATCGTGGTGATGGTATACAAAGAAGCATCTCTGGTGTGCATAGGTACTCTCTAAACTGGGTTGTGTCTCAGAATTTGTTGTACCCTCCAGACACTGTGCCAGGGGAGTGTGAGAGGTCGGCCTTAGGAACGGGAATGAGGTGACATGGGGACACTCTGGGCACTGAATAGCCCCTGGTTGCCCCTACAACTTGAGAAAGATAGAGTGCAGGAAATCAGGCCCGATGCTGCTCTGGTTGGGGTGGGGGCTGACTCAGCTGTTAAGCTGGTCTCGGCAGCATTCTGTCTCCTCAGAACCATGGAGGAAGCAGCAGTAAGGGCCAGGGTTATGTGATGTCACAGATTTTCAAGGTCCCTGCAGAGGAAAACTCTGAAATCACAAAAGGCCTAATGCCTTTCTCTGCAGCACAAACATACCTGCAGGTAAGCACAGACTTGCAGGATTTTAGTGCACGTTTATTTCTCAGTGGAACTACCCAATAGGCCAAAAGCAACTGTCCTCCGTTTCATTCAGGGGTAAAAAAAGGAAAAAAAAAGAAAACTCACAAAATTGGTGATTTAGGGGAAAGTCCCATCTTCCTTGAGATCTTGACTTTCTGGCAGTTTTCATGTAGAATTGCTCCGGATCATCTCCACTTTCTTGAACTGACGCAAGCATTTGCTTCTGCCACTATCCGAGGAAAGCACTTATATGTGAACAGATTTTTAATATAGCTCTCCATCTTTTGTCATCTTCTTTCATGTCTCAGGAAACCTGGAATCTGAGCCATTGTACTGTTTCTCTTTTAAAGTCTCTCCTTGCACATCTAATTTGAACGAATGAATTTCATTTTCAGAGAGCAAAGGAGGCGTTCGTTATAAAATTCTCATGCAAAAGGAAGCCTTAAAGCCATGAGGACTGGTCAGGATTGGAATCCAGGCTAGCCCTGGCTACATAGCTAACCCTACCACAAACTGAAGGAGTGTGGGTGGGACTTGGGGCCTAAGGGTGGGGGGCACCCACATTCTCCCAACCCACCTTGCACAGACAACTTGGGGTGAGGATGAACCCTGAACTACTCATGCAGCCCCCAAGTTTGTGCGGCTTCTCCCACTCTTCTGCCACACTAGGGTCCTCAAGAAGTTGACAGTGTTACTGCTTGGAACGGGAGCCCCCTTGGTCTGAAATTCAGAACCACTAGATGGACTCCGTGAGCCGCTTCCACAGGAACCCTGGGGAAGCCCTGTGCTCCAAAGCTTCCCTGCACAACAACCTCACACAGGCCTGTCCTGTGTAGGCCCTCTGGATTCCAGATGTGGGTTCAGGAGTAGGTGACAACTCTCAGCTGGGAATGTCAGAGTGAATTTTCTGAAGGGAGGGGTGTGAGATGAGATGGAGCTTAGTGAACAAGACTCCAGAGAGGGTGGTACAAGCGTCTGAGCAGGGCAGGCTCAAACACCAGCACAGGTGTGACCATGAAGAGAGCAGTCGTGGGTCTGTCACTCCTGAGTTACCCCAAACCAAGCAAATGGCTCTGTGGGGCTCACAGCCTGCTCAGAACTGCTGGCTGTCATCAGCTGGGCGGCAGGCCAGACCTCAGGGTCTTCATCCACCCCAGAGGACTCAGGGCATTGACCATCCTCAGAACATGCACTGCTTCCTCAGTCCAAAGAGTGCGGATGATGCTGGTGAAGGGCCAGCCTGGGCTCGCAGGAGGGTTGGTGGACGAGGGGTCGCAGGGACCCCTCAACATGAGCAGAGGCAGGAAAAGCTTTGAGGCTCTCTGCCCAGGGAAAAGCCTGGTCACAAGGGCCGGTGGATCCTGGAATGTTATACTTGGGAGCTTGAAGGTCACCAGGAGTGTGAATGGGATCTGCTTGGGGCCCTTGTCTTCCTCTACCAGTGGGGGCTTCCAAGTTTAGCCCCATCACCCATTCCTCTCCTTATTTGGGCCTCTGGGTGATAAGGCTGAGACATAAAGAGCCGGTGACAAGATCACACAGCCAGACCACTGCAGATCATGGTAAGTGCTTGGCGGGGAACAGGAGACCAGGGCAGAGCCAGGGATTTCTGTGCCTGTGCAGGGCTCAGAGAAGTGATCTCTAGGGCTGGAGAAAGGCCCCCCAGCCTGGCACTCCTGGTTGTGCCCTGGGGCGACAAGTGGTAGGGAGGGGGGACTCTGGAGAACCGGCGAGGGGGCCCCTGTCACCATCAGTATTACAGGCCAGCAGGAAGGCTGGGACCCGGGGCAAGGCCGCAGCCACCAAGCAGGCCCAACGTGGCTCTTCCAATGTCTTCTCAATGTTTGAACAAGCCCAGATTCAGGAATTCAAAGAAGTGAGTACCGTACCTCCAGCAGCCTCTCACTCCGCCCTCTCTTCTCCGAGGGTCAGGGGTTCCCCACACACACACCTGCTCTTCACCACCCAAGGCTCTCCCTTATCTCTGCCTCCCCTGGAAGAGAGGGGGTAGTAGCTCCCTCCTGAAGGCTCTCTCTCCTCGCAGGCCTTCAGCTGCATTGACCAGAATCGCGATGGCATCATCTGCAAGTCAGACCTGAAGGAGACCTACTCCCAGCTCGGTGAGTGGATGCACGGGTCCACCTCCCAGGGGCCCATCTCAGCCATCTTAGGGGCCTGCTTGGAGTGAGGACAGGGCCCTGCCCTCACACATTCCCCATCTCCCACCGGTTCCACAGTTGGAGTTGCCCCCTGCCTCTCCCCTCACTGCCCGGAAAGCAGGGGACAGCAACTTGGGTCATCTTATGTCTTATCCTCACAGGGCGGGTAAGTGTCCCAGAGGAGGAGCTGGAAGCCATGCTGCAGGAAGGGAAGGGCCCCATCAACTTCACCGTCTTCCTCACGCTCTTTGGGGAGAAACTCAACGGTGAGTCAGCACCATTCATGTCTGAATCTCCTGAAGTAAGCAAACCTGACCTCACCTGACCCCTGAACCCCGTGCAAAGTTCACCTGAACTCCCCGAAACTTGTGGAGCCTGCTTGGCCATGGTAGACCCAGAGTGTGTGGGGCAGCCTGGGCTGACTTGGGCTCAGAAAACGTCTGCTTTCAAAGCCCAATTCTGATCTTCCAGCCTCAAGAAACACTTTGTGGGGTTTCAGGTCCCGCTCTGTGGCCTCCATCAACACCCTCTAGGAAAGATCCTAGCTCCCTGGTAGTATGAGTTCTTCCTGGGTAGGGCCTAGAGCCTGGGAATCTGACAGTTCACCTGGCTGCCTCCACCCGCAGGGACAGACCCTGAGGAAGCCATCCTGAGCGCTTTCCGAATGTTTGACCCCAGCGGCCAGGGGGTGGTGAACAAGGATGAGTAAGTGAGGATCCTGTGTCCCCCAGGGTGGGCACCACAGGGAAACAAGAGGGCGGTAAGGCAGGTCCTCTGTGTCTGGTCAGGTGACCAGTCCTCCCCTGGGCCCTCACACTCTCCTTCCCAGCTCCAGCCTTCTCTTTCCTCAGGTTCAAGCAGCTTCTCCTGACCCAGGCAGACAAGTTCTCTCCTGCTGAGGTGAGACACCCTGGCCCCATCAGCACCTGTTCCTGGCATTGCCACCCTCGCACAGGGAAGGCCTCATGACCCAGCGCCCACAGGGCTCAGAACCCAGATCCTATGTGGTGTAAGCTAAGGGTGGCAGGATCTTCCCAGAAGAGACACGACCTCTGTTAAGACCCAAAGGGGAGACCACAGACTCAGAAGAGGGAGGGCTTGTCTCTGTGGTCAGGGGAGCCTTTGACCCCTCCCCCATTCGGGCCCACTTCCTAGTCTGTCCACCAACAGACAAAAACATCTGACTGCAGTTTGGGGTTGAAAAATCTTAGTCCCAAAGTACAGCTCTCGGGACAGGGCATCGTTAGGCCGTATCTCTGCGTGGTACCTCCCACAGGTGGAGCAGCTGTTTGCCCTGACACCCATGGACCTGGCAGGCAACATCGACTACAAGTCCCTCTGCTATATCATCACCCACGGGGATGAGAAAGAGGAGTAGAGGCAGGCTGGGGTCACCTCAATAAACTCTGTGGCTGAACTAGAGCTGATGTGTTGGCTATGACATACAGGATGGGGGTGGACCAGGCAGAGGACATGGGACCCCGTGAGATCCCACCTATCGAGTAAAATATGAACCATTATTCTGCCCACTGCTGAACTCCAGGAGAGGAAACGGGATGTCCACAACCTCCATGAGGCCCAGGAATGAGCCGCAAGTGGGCAACCCTGATCTTGAGGTCTGGGGCAAGGAGAAACCCCTTGCTGGACACTCTGCAGATTTTCTGCACAACAGCTCAGTTAGCGGATGCAGTCCCAGGGACCTGCAACCACACAGCCTCCCCCTCGACACTAACAGTCTCCTCTTGATGTGCTTGCTATGGGGCCCTGTGGGAAAGCCACCGAGGAACCTGTGGTGGGTGCCTTGTCTAGCATGTTGCATGTCCTGTATTCAATTCCCAGTAAGGGCCCCTTCCCTCTAGGGAAAGAGAGGGAGAGAAGAGGAGAGAAGGGGGAGGTGTTACAAACATACTGGAAGGACAGGAGACAGGGACATGGTGGGACATGGACACTGGAGGCAGAGCCATTCACAGGCACTGCTAGAAACTGGCCTCCTGCCTCATATCAAGGACTTTGTTATGGGGTCACCCAGCTGGAGAGTAGGGACATGACTGCCCCCACAGAACTGCTAGTGCCCCCCATTCTCTCTGCCAGAATCACAGGTTGCAGAAGCAGGTGATTCCCCATACGTACCTAAGGGAGACAGAAAACCAGTGACCGCTCAGTTAGACCAGAGCTGAGCAGCAGTTTCTCTGCGACACTCCCTCCAAGCCTGCAATGGTGCTCAGCCTGGAGCTGGAGAGGAGGGGTATGGGGGGTGGAGGGGAGAATAGGAGAGGGAGAGGAAAGGGGAAGGCAAAGAGGGAGGGGGGAGAGGATTGGAAAGGGAAAGGAAGAGGGGGAGAGAGGAGAGGGAAAGGGGAGAG